AAACGGATTTGCATGTCAATGAGTGAAATAAGGATTTGACCCCTTTGACTTAGTACTTGGTGGCAAAACCCGTGTTGGCAATCAGAGGCCAGACATTTCTTGTAGCTGGACCAGTGTTGTATCCTGGTTTTGTGCTGCCCTAGGCAGGACAAAACTCAGGCGCCCCCCCGCGCCACCCCCACCCAACCCTTCCCCCCGCCCCACCTTCTAAATACACACACACACAGTCAGACACATACACAAACACACACACACACAGTCAGACACATACACAGACACAGTCAGACACAAACACACACACACAGCCAGACACACACACACACATACACAGTCAGACACAAACACACACACAGTCAGACACACACAGTCAGACACAAACACAAACACACACAGACACACACAGTCACATACACACACACAGTCAGACACAAACACACACACACAGTCAGACACATACACAGACACAAACACAGTCAGACACAAACACACACACACACACAGTCAGACACATACACAGACACAAACACACACACAGACACAAACACACACACAGTCAGACACAAACACACACACACACAGTCAGACACAAACACACACACACACACACACAAACACACACACACATTAACTTTTTTTTAAATTTAAATCCCCCCCCCCCAACCTCCTTACCTTTGGGAGTGCTGGGGGGGGGGTCTCTCTCCCTGGTGGTCCAGTGGCTGCAGGGCGGGCGGCGCTGGCAGGCGGGCGGGCGGGCGGGCGGCCGGCGAGGGAGCACTTCCCATGAGCTGACTGCTCAGCTCCCTCGCGCGTCGGCTGCAGAGTGAGGCTGGGAACCGGAAGATGACGTCATCTTCCGGCTCCCAGCCTCACTTTGCGGTGCGCGAGGGAGCTGAGCAGTCAGCTCATGGGAAGTGCTCCCTCGCCGGCCGCCCGGGATGTCAGTTAGCCGCAAGGCTAACTAGGCATTTGCCCTGGGCATTTGGGGGGCGGCGTTTTTTGCCGCCCCCTGAAAAATGCCGCCCAAGGCAAATGCCTTGTTTGCCTCGCGGCTAATACGTCCCTGAGCTGGACACCAGGTTTGCACACATCTCAGGAGGGATTTTGTCCAACTCCTCTTAGCAGATCCTCTCCAAGTCATTTTCAAGGCTGACATTTGGCAACTCAAACCTTCAGCTCCCTCCACAGATTTTTTATGGGATTAAGGTCTGGAGACTGGCTAGGCCACTCCAGGACCTTAATGTACTTCTTCTTGAGCCACTCCTTGCATTGGCTGTGTGTTTTGGCTCATTGTCAGTGGCGTACATACCGGGGTCGCAGGTGCGACCGGGAACCGCTGTGTACCCACCGTGGCCAGTCTCTTCTCCTGGGGGGTCCAGGAGCTGGCCACCTCAGGGCCCCCCCCCCCCCAAGGGTTGCCCTGGTATCACCAGGCGGGCACGCTGGCGCGCGCGCGAGGGAGCACTGTCCCATGTGTGCTCCCTCTTCAGCTCCCTCGCGCACCGCACTGATACCGGAGCCGGAAGATGATGTCATCTTCCGGCTCCGGTATCAGTACGCGACGCGCGAGGGAGCTGAAGAGGGAGCACTCGGGGGACAGTGCTCCCTCACGCGCCCGCCAGCCTGCCTGCCCGGTGACCGGCCACCCAGCAGCACCACTGGACCCCAGAGAATCCCCTCAGCACTCCAAAAGGTAAGGAGGCTGGGGGATTACATTTATAAAAAAAAAAAAAAACATGTTAGTGTGTGTGTGTTAGTGTGTGTGTCTGCTAGTGATTGTCAGTGAGTGTTACTGTGTGTGTCTGTTACTGAGTGTGTTTGTGTGTGTCTGTTAGTGAGTCTGTTTGATGTCTGTTAGTGAGTGTATGTTTTGTAAGTGAGTGTGTATGTATGTCTGTCGCTGAGTGTGTCTCTGTCAGTAAATGTATGTGTCTGTTAGCTAGTGTGTATGTGTCTGTTCGTGAGAGTGTGTGTGTATGTGTGTCTTCAGCACTTACCTTTCTCCAGCGCCGGACTCCCTTGGTGCTGGGGATCCCTCTGCCTCTCAGCTCCAAATGCGCATGCGCGATATGAGCCGCACGCGCCCATAGGAAAGTATTACTCAATGCTTTCCTATGGACATTCAGTGTCTTAGAATCGTGGAAGCTCCTCTAGCGGCGGTCAATGAGACAGCCACTAGAGGCTGGATTAACCCTGAGTGAAACATAGCGGTTTCTCTGAAACTGCTATGTTTTCAGCTGCAGGGTTAAAACTAGAGGGACCTGCCACCCAGACCACTTCATTGAGCTGATGTGATCTGGGTGTCTGTAGTGGTCCTTTAAGTGTGTGTACATCTGCATGCACTGGCGTACATACCGCGGTCGCAGGGGTCGCAGCCCTGCAACCCCTGCGACCAGGTGCCCGCCGCCATGTGTTCTGGCCCGGGGGGGGGCCACGGATCAATTTTCACACCGGGGCCTCATGGGTCATGTGTACGCCATTGTTCATTGTCATGCTGGAATAGCCATCCACAACCCATTTTCCAATGCCCTGGCTGAGGGAAGTAGTACTCACCCAAGATTTGACGGTACATGGCCCCGTCCATCGGCCCTTCGATGCGGTGCAGTTGTCCTTTCCCCTTAGCAGAAAAACAAAGCATAATATTTCCACCTCCATGTTTGACGGTGGGGATTGTGTTCTTGGGGTCATAAGCAGCATTCCTCCTCTTCCTACAAACACGGCATGTATCAAATATTCTGTACTCTTGGGTTTTTACGTCCAAGATGATTTATCTTGCACTTATCCACATTAAATGTCAGCATTTAACTTTAAAGAAAACCCTCAGACCATGCCTGCCTTGACCCCACCAAAATGCCACTTCGTGACAGTTCGTGCCTGTCACTAAAGCCACAGGGGAAGCCACTTATTTTGTTTATTTTTTTTTTTAAAGTTCATATTTTAGTTTTAAAATTTTGTCCTGAGGAGAATCTTCTCGTGAGAGTTTTATAATGCAGGCTTTGCAAGGATTACTTTAAAAGTAATCCTTTGGCGGCATCTTGTGGATAAACTCTGTGTTACACGTGTAAGTTTTCGTTTTCGCTTCAAAATAACCAATTTATTTAACTCATTAATAAGATTGTCTATTATAACGGGATCATCCATGCAAATTCTTATTTGTATGTATTTTAGTGTGTTCTATACAAACTAACAGGGCGCCACAATCACTAAATAGGTGTATATAAAGGGAAGAACCATATACTTAAATATATCCGATATCTGGGTAAAAAAAAATAGTAATTTATTGATACAGAATAAATAAAATAACAGCACAAAAAAAGTGCTCAAATATATAATAAACAGGAACCCATAGGTAGGGGGGGACAATAAACTAAATACCTGTAAAATAAAACATTCATAATTGCCATTAAAAACTAAAAGGCCAAATAAAAATCCATAAATCCCATTGAATTATTAAAATGAAAAATACCCAAATACAATTTTTTTTTTTTTTTTTAATAATCTAGCGCTCTGAGTCAAATTGCATGGAATGGGAAGCCTTTAAGCCATTCCCTACCCTGCAGAGCTCAGTCTGTGCGGATCTCTCGCTAGTTAGAGATGGATTCATTTTTATTGCCTTAATTATTTTTTTCTGTCTTTTTAGTTTATTAATTCAAAGGAATTTTTATTTTGTCGTTTTTGGGGCGAAGAAAGAACACATATAATGGTAAGTATGCAGGTTTTATTTTACAGATATTTAGTTAATTGCCCTCCCTCACTATTAGGATATTTATTTACTGGGGGAGTGACGAGGGGCTTGTGGACTCCTAGTCACTGGGTGGAGGGTTATTATTTACTATTAGCCCCCACCTGCCGCTAATGAGTAGAGGCTGGAGGGAGCTGGGGAAACGTATTACTTGGGCCCTCAACAAGGGCTTACGAGTGGGGGCTGGGGGGGAACAATAGGATTTCCCCCAATTATTACTAAGGGCACCAACCCGCTGGCACTGGGGAGGGGACAATAGATTTCCCCCCTATTATTACTTACAGTGCCCACCCCCCGGCAATGGGTTGCGGCTGGGGGGGTAACAATATGTTCACTTCATTATTACTTCTGGCCCCTACCTGCCGGCCATGGGAGAGGGCTGGGGGAGAATAATAGATTTCCCCTCTATTATTGATTAAATGTGCTATGCATTCATCCAAATGCACGAATTGCTCATTCTTTTGTTGAGCCATTTGATCTTTCTGCTCACTCCCTTCAGCCTTTTGAATTACAGACAGTGTAATATAAAAGGCCAAATGTGAATTGTGAATGAACAAACGAATGGCACATTAGGCGCCTAACGAAATTCTTCTATTTGTTCGTTCATTAGGTTCCCTATTCGATATTCGGACAAATGGAATATATTCGTCCGAATACGAATGCCCAAGTCTACATTTTACCATTTAGTTTTTTTACTGTCATTGAATGTGCCAGCAATTGGTCCACCCAATGTGTATGTTCAGCCATGTTTAACACCCATGTAGTAAATTAAATAATACAGACTTGCAGATTAAAAATAGAGTTTAGCCTGTCAAACAGAATATCAGAATTTCTGTTTTCCACTTTGGAGAGGGTCAGAGACCTGGGATTTGGTGAATAAAATCCATTAGAAGCATAGGTGACAGACGATGATGAACACAACTCCCACAATGCTGTGCCAGCCTTTTGATTTTATCGGGATGGATAAAATATGTGAAATTCAGGTTATCCTATGTTAAAATAAAGACTGTGGAACACATTTCACAATTTCCACATTGCACCCTTGAAATGCGAGTAATTATTTTTTATGTGTTGCTAATAAAATCAGCAAGTACATAAGCAACCGAGAAGGTGGCAAAGCATCATGGGAATTGTGGTTTTGTAATTTAATTTCACAGCGCCTAATTTATTTATTTATTTTTTTATTAACATGCAACCCTTTCATTTTTTTCTTGCATTCCAATAACGAGACATTTTATGTGTACAAAATGTAACATTTAATCTCCCATTAGCAGGTCCAAAGTCCAAACGTAATCAAAACAAGCGTTATCATCTATGGGCATAGATGGGAAAACTTTACCTAAAGAAACATGTCTTAGGACAAACAGAAAAATGAATATTCTTAGATCTAATACAGGATTCCAGTTGGCAAAGGTATAGTATACAAAATAATGTGAAAATATATCTTAAAGAAAGCAACAATATTGTATATGTAATGTCCAAACTCCCAGTTGTTGTCCAGCCTCTAGACAGATGACATCATAGGCATGACGTGATTCTGAAATTGACTTAGATGGTTTTACACAATTTGCAGCTGGCAAACGTTACTTAAAAGTCCCATGTGGATAGTGAGGGATACTAAAACATTACTTCTTCTTCTGGAGTTGCCTTGACAAAAAGTCAGCCTACAAAATGAGAAGAGAGACCACATGAAACATTTGTGCACTCAGACTAAATAACACTGTATAATCAAACTAATATCAGCAGGACTAAACTGCAAGGCAGGTGAAGGAAATAAATCGTGACCCTCTCGCTACCAAAAAGGTAAGCCGTAAAATGCGTTGATGAAAAATAAAAATAACGGACAAAGCAAGCAGGGCCCCGGAAGCCTTGCACACACAACACAGACAGCCTTCTTACACACAACCTTTATCACACACATACAACCCCACACAAAACCCCCATAAAATATATGAAGTCATAGAAACACACATGCACACTCACAACTCCTATTATGCACACACAGACACAAACAAAACTCCCAGCATTCTCATGGAGTGTCCCGCATACACACCTAGACAAAACATTGGCTTTAAATGTGTCAGTACAACTACAACTGCCTTCACATGCACAGAACTGTCAACATGCACACACAGCTGGCAGCACACGCACACAACTGCCATCACACATGTACAGTACAACTGTGAAGACACCAACACAACTGCCACCACACGTGTACAACTGTGACGACACAACACAACTGCCATCACATGTGTACAACTGTAACGACACCAAAAAAACTGCTATCACATGCATGACCCCCTCCAATCTCCAATGACATTTAATAGAGGTAAATATAAGAGATTAAAGGGGTGACAATGGAAATAGAGGAGAAAGGGAAACTATAAAATAAGAACAGGTGGTGGAAACTGGAGTCAGGATTAAAAAAAAGAATGATGAAGAGGGGAAAGAAACAGTGGAACAGAAAGAGTGTCGAAAAAACGGAGTGAAAATTAGGGAACAGAGACTGGGGAGCAACAGGGGTTTGGAGACTAGAAAATAAATTAATTACAAAGAGAGGCATTGGAAGAAAAGACAAAAGGGTAAAGAGACGGGGAGAAAAAAGACTAAAAGATAAGAGAAGACACTCTGGAATACGTAAGGGAGCAGCAGGCAGAGTTTTTTCCCAGGATAATGTTATGCCAAGCAAGCACCCCGATTCCTCTCCTGCAACTATCATCAAAACAAAACACTAAGCCCTCAGTGAATACTATTTTAACAACCTACTTTTCTACCCAACCCTTACCTTTTGTGTCATTATACCCTACTCCCTCTAGCATGTAAGCTCGTCGAGTAGGGTCCTCAATCCCGCTGTTCCTGTGCATCAAATTAGTCTGGTTTAACCCCTTAAGGACACATGACATGTGTGACATGTCAGGATTCCCTTTTATTCCAGGAGTTTGGTCCTTAAGGGGTTAAAATACAAGTTTCTTTGTCCACCCATTCTACAGCACTATGGAATTTGTTGGCGCTTTTATAAATAATAATAATTGTTTCACTGTAAAAATAGTGTTACTCAGTGTTATGTGTGTAGTGAATACATGGAATGGTTACCCACTAGAGAGGGTATGGCTGATCACAGCATTGCAAGAGTTAACGTGGCTGTCTTTAGCCAGAGGAATGAGCCATCTGTAGCATCACAGAAAAGGGGTTGTAAACTAAGGTCTATTTTATTGCATGGAGTGTAAACCAAATGATATTACAACAGGTATCTAGTTCTAAATTTGAGTGTTCTTTAATAATAGCGCCTTATCAGATAAGCTGTTGGAGAGAGCTTGGAAACAACATGCCACCTGCAAAGTATATTATAAATTCAATGAAGGTTAATTCACTTAAAGTTTGAGAAGTGATTTTAGATGTTATTTTATTTTGGGGACATTATTGATGAAATATATGTCATGTCTGGTCTAAAATTAATTATCGGGATTCACAGAGATACTCTGACCTGGTTACCAAGACATTGGGAGTATCTGTACCCACATATGATGCATTGTACATTTTCAACCAGGTCTGGAATATATTTATCGTCTCTCATAAAACTGGAATTCCTTAAGTCCCATGCTCGTACTCTGGAGGGCCAGAATTGAATGTACGGTGGAAAAACTGAATATGAGTTCTGATGAAACCTAAAAACTTTGTAATCTATTTTCAGAGCCAAATCAAATTTACCAAAATTATAATTTCCTTACCAAAACCTTTCTTGGAAGATAAATATTGGCATTTCTCAAGTACAGTGAGTATTAGTGTTTTCTGTTAATATTCTCCCTTTTTAATTTACTTTCCTTTTTTTATCATATTACTAAAGATTTGTATATTTCTGCTAAATTGTGTTTTTAGTCTAATTTAGTTAGGCTAACATAGGATTCCTCTTTTTTTTTTAAATTTTCCTGGTGGTGGCAACATCTTTAGTAGAACAAGTGTGGGTGGTGTTGAAAGACAGTTTTTTTTAATTATTAATTTGGGTCTAGCACACACAAATAGTTTTCTGTTAACCCTTTCACCTACCGAAGCAACTTACATGTATTCCTGGAATGGACTGGTACACAACGTGACAGATCGTAAAACTCCTGGAACCTGCCCTGCAGCTATTACATTCAAGAGTTCTCATCCTACACTGTGTCTTCTGGCAATATTCTACAATCTGCCCTGGGCAGCAACTACAGTTCCAGGTTAGTTAGTCTCTAAACTTCAGACCTCCAGTATACTATATAAGCTAGTTATTTATATATGACCATACCAAGATGTTTTTAAGCATGGTTCTCCGGGGGTTCCTTAGATACGCACATTCCTCTCCTTCACACAGCTTTATTTCTTCTGAAACCTGCAGAGTAAAGAAAGAATGGTCCAATTGGGAAACACAAAAATGCCCTCAAAATGGCCACAAAACTAAAAAGCTTTATTTTTTCAAAAAGTATGCCTTTTCTAGTTTTTACATGAAATCTGTGATACTTTAACAAGAGCTGCAATAAACCACCATCCACTGATTCTGAACGGTTTCACCCCCCTCCCCAGGTGACCTTATTCCTTCTGGTCCTCTATTCTATTGCTAAAGCAGACTTTGCACCAGAACATATTACACCATAACCACTACAGGAGTCTGAAGTGATGGAAAAATGTGAATTGCCAAGGAACATTTTGACTAAAATATCATCAATCCTAAAATAAATGCCACCTAGATGCCAAAACTGAGGAATCCATTGTCAGATGATGTAACAATAGAATATTGATTTACCTCTGGGGAAGAGGCCATGTTTAACTCTCGTTTCCCGCCTGGATACCAGCCGTGGGACCAGTGCTGGGCATTTGAAAGGTGGGAACTGACTGCAAACAGGACCAGCAGCAGGAGGACTAGGTGACTTTGGCAGGCCATGGATGTCTTGATATTCTTCAAAGATTCTAGAATGTATCACTGTAAAATATAGTGAGCATACGGTGCATTATTAGTGAATAACATCAGAATAAGTAGAAATATTAAAGCAGCCATTCCATTACAGGGGAAAGAAAAACCAAAATAGTGCTAACGGTCACTAACTCTCATGATCTGTTTTGTTTTTTATTTTTTGTTATAGGGGTATTCACTAAGGTGAGAAATCAGGAATTCACTAGAGAAGCATTACCGAGCATGATTTGGGATTTTTTTTTTTTTTTTCAATTAAACTATTTGGGGCAAATAAATATCAATTCTCTGGGGAATTTCCAATAATGTCTTGTTCAGTGAACAAGTCTATAAGTGTAGAAGCCTGCAGTAATACATGCTGATACCTCATATCTATCGGACTTTTTTCACTCCCTAAAAAGGAATAAAACAGATCCTTTAATGAGCTTTAACTTGTTAGAGGAGTGGATTTAATTCTGATTAAAGAGATCTGAATTTTTATTAGACATATTTAAACTTCTTTTTTGATTTCACTTTCATTGTTATTTTATGCAGTAAAATACAGACTTTGAGTGAACGTGTCCATAAGTCTATTTCAATGCCTGCTCTCTGGCTAAGCTAAGCACAGGATTGTGGGGAAATACAAAATAGTAAAACAGCGTGTTAAGTAATACCTATTTAATGGAAATTGAGAATAAAACAGTCTCATCGGTTTGTTCCAGCAATCTCACTTAATTACTTGTCTGTCAAAAATACCACAATATGAAACTCATATGAAAGGCAGTTATAATGAATTAGTAATAAGAGGAGACTGGACTGAGTACCTGCCTGTGCCATAAGCTATAAGTTTCTTTGTTGCCTGGAGTGTTCCATTAAAGCGCACAGAATATTTAAAAATTAGGCTTTATTGGAAGACCGCAAAAGTGCAGTTTTGTTCATGCATGTTATTTAACAGACACTCCAAGCAACGTGACTACTGCAGCTCACTTGGTGCCGGCCCTGGTTTAATGCGAACGCGTTTAGAAGTATTTTGACACAAACCTGAGGCTCTACCGCGTTCCTGGAGCCTACCCATTACATGGTTAGAGTGATCATGCATATTTAAATGGACATTAATGAAGTGCTTTAAGAGTTAACTCTGTCTCATCGCCTTTGTTTTGTAAAAGCATATATTTCAGGAGAAATTGTCACTTTTATAAATACATTCCTCAGTCACTGTGATTTGTAATTCAAAGCATTTCATACCTCCCAAGGGTCCCTATTTAGTAGGGACAGTCCCAAGTTTGGCCTATTTTCCTTTGTCTATTTTCTATCGTCATGTCCCTCTTTTGAATAAACTTTGTATTCTTTGTGTGTCTGAATTTCAATCACAGCTTTACAGTACTAATACTCCACATTAAATTATTATTATTATTATTGCCATTTATATAGCGCCAACAGATTCCGTAGTGCTTTACAATATTATGAAAGGGGATTTAACTATAAATAGGACAATTACAAATAAACTTACAGGAACAATAGGTTGAAGAGGACCCTGCTCAATCGAGCTTACATTCTATAGGAGGTGGGGTGTAAGATACATTAGGACAGGAATGTGCAATCAAATAAGGTGGGCTGCCCTTTAGGAGAGGGCAAGAGACGGGTATGTGAGGTAAGGGTTAGTCTTGGAGGCCATAAGCTTTCCTAAAGAGATGGGTTTTAAGGCACTTCTTAAAAGATGCAAGACTAGGGGAGAGTCGGATGGCGGTAGGCAGGAACACTATAGTCACCTAAACATCAATTTAATCAGTTAATGAAGCAGTTTTGATGTAAATATCATGCCCTTGCAATCTCACTGCTCAATTCACTGCCATTTAGGAGTTAAATCACTTTGTTTCTGTTTACACAGCCCTTGTCACACCTCCCCTGACTCTGATTGACACAACCTGCATGAAAAAAAACTGGTTTCACTTTCAATCAGGTGTAATTTACCTTAAACAATTGTATCTCTTTCTCTGTAAATTGAACTTTAATCACATACAGGAGGCTCTTGCAGGGTATATCAAGCTATTAACATAGCAGGGGATGAGAAAATCTAAATTAAACAGAACTTTCAATAAAGGAAGGATAAACGTTAGATGACTGTTTACAGGAAGTGTTTAGGAAGGCTGTGCAAGTCACATGCAGGGAGGTGTGACTAGGGTTCATAAGCAAAGTGATTTAACTCCTAAATGACATAGAACTGAGCAGTGAGACTGCAGGGACATGATCTATACACCAAAACTGCGTCATTAAGCTGAGGTTGTTTTGGTGAGTACAGTGTCCCTTTAATGTGTCTGTGAAATACAATAAATGTGTTCAGAAATCATTTTGTGTAAATAAAATAGATTGTTCTGGTTTTAAATTAAATCTTTGTTACATAGATTGTTGTTAAGTCATAAAGTCACATACATTTCCCAAAAGAGCAGTGCCCCTGGAACAACTCTACTTACACCCCTAAAACGAGAGTAATAGTCTTCTTCCAATTAAAATGTTGGGGTGCATGGCATCAATGTAAATGCTTCTCTATGACATGCATTGTTGGCAATAACACTGATTGCTGCACATGCATTTTGTGTCCTAATTCTTCTACTTGAGAAGCATCAAACTGGACACAAGTCATTAGAAATAATGATGGTGCAGTGAGGAGGAGATTCTCCTGAAATAAAGGTGGGCTTAAAAGGGCATTCTAAACACCAAAGCCACTACAGTCTAAATGCTGCCCCTGCAGGCTGTCAAATATATGCTTTGTGAGAATCAGCAATGTTTACTTTACATGTGTAACCAATCACCGGCCTCCAGGGCAAACTTTCCTGAACTCCAGGGCAACCAGCAACAGAACAAATGGCAAAGCTGTCAGGTGCTGGGGTGGGGCAAAGCAGTTAAAAGCAGTTTAACTCCTTATGGTGGGCCCTACATTTTAAAGGTGGGGCCTACAACCCAATACCACCAGGAACACTCTAACTTAACCATTTCAAGGCAAAAAATGGGGAGGGGGCAGTAATTGAGAAATACATACTAGGAACACAAATTATATACAATACTGTGCAAATGTTTTACGTAGACATGAAAAATACTGTTAAATAAGAATGCTTTTAAAAATAGAAATGTTAATAGTTTATTTTTATGAGTTAACAAAAGTAAGAATTGAGAACAGAAGAAAAACCTATATCCAATCAATACATGGTGTGATCACCCTTTGTCTTTAATACAGTATCAATTATTCTAGGTACACTTGCACCCAGTTTTGTAAGGAACATAGCAGGTAGGTTGTGTCCGATAGTTTAAAATTTGCACTCCCACGCTCTAGCATCAGCATGCACTCCCAAAGAATGATGCAATTTTGGCATATAAGGGTGCCGTCCCCAAAGTATAGGGGGCAGGAGTGCGTCCAGCTTCTTAAAGGGACACTCTAGTGCCAGGAAAACAAACCGTTTTCCTGGCACTGCAGGTACCCTCTCCCTCCCATCACCAATCTCATGTTGCTGAAGGGATGAAAACCCCTTCAGTGACTTACCTTACGTGCATTAGACCTCTCCATAGGTAAGCATTGAAAATGCTTTCCTGTGAGGAATTGAGCGACGCTGGAGGTCCTCACACAGCGTGAGGACGTCCAGTGGCGCTCTAGCACAGAAAACCTGTGCTAGAAACCAGGAAGTGCCCTCTAGTGGTTGTCTAGTAGACAGCCACTAGAGGAGGAGTTAACCCTGCAATGTAATTATTGCAGTTTATGAAAACTGCAATATTTACAGCTGCAGGGTTAAGAGTAGTGGGAGTTGGCACCCAGACCACTCCAATGCGCAGAAGTGGTCTGGGTGCCTGGAGTGTCCCTTTAACTTCACCTTTAGCAAACACAGCTTAGCTCAGCTCCAAAACAAGCACACCAGCAAGGTAGAATCCAAAAAGTGGCTTTATTAAAATAAAATATATAAACAGTCCTACGTGTTTCTTCCCTTATGGAATGTCCTCAGTGACTAATCAGTAAAACAGATTACACAATAAAATTATGAAATAAAATGAATCTGTATCCCTCTGTATTTGTAGTATATATTGTATTTTGGGGGAACCTACTTGGAATACAATCTATACAATCTATCTTGTGAAAGCTGCTACTGGTTTCCACACAACAGCTATGTATCTTTTGGTGGTGGGAACAAAGTTTGTAAATACAGGTGATACTCGAAAAATTAGAATATCGTGCAAAAGTTCATTTATTTCAGTAATGCAACGTAAAAGGGGAAATTAATATTTGAGATAGACGCATTACATGCAAAGCAAGATAGTTCAAGCCGTGATTTGTCATAAGTGCGATGATTATGGCTTACAGCTCATGAAAACCCCAAATCCACAATCTCAGTAAATTAGAATATTACATGCAATCAATAAAACGTATAAGCATGCATATGGACTCAGTACTTGGTTTGGGCTCCTTTTGCAGCAATTACTGCCTCAATGTGGCGTGGCATGGAAGCGATCAGCCTGTGGCACTGCTGAGGTGTTATGGAAGACCAGGATGCTTCAATAGTGGCCTTCAGCTCTTCTGCATTGTTCGGTCTCATGTCTCATCTTTCTCTTGGCAATGCCCCATAGATTCTCTATGGGGTTCAGGTCAGGCGAGTTTGCTGGCCAATCAAGCACAGTAATCCCACGGTCATTGAACCAGGCTTTGGTGCTTTTAGCAGTGTGGGCAGGTGCCAATTTTCCTGCTGCTAAATGAAGTCAGCATCCCCATAAAGCTCGTCTGCGGAAGGAAGCATGAAGTGCTCCAAAATCTCCTGGTAGATGGCTGCGTTGACCCTGGACTTAATGAAGCACAGTGGACCAAGACCAGCAGATGACATGGCTCCCCAAATCAACACAGACTTAGGAAACTTCATACAAGCATCTTGTAGTGTGTGCCTCTCCATTCTTCCTCCAGACTCTGGGTCCTTGGTTTCCAAATGAGATGCAAAAGTTGCTCTCATCAGAAAAGAGGACTTTGGACCACTGAGCAACAGACCAGGTCTGTTTTTCTTTAGCCCAGGTAAGATGCTTCTGACGTTGTTTGTTGTTCAGGAGCGGCTTGACAAGAGGAATACAACATCTGAAGACCATGTCCAGGATCCGTCTGTATGTGATGGCTCTTGATGCACTGACTCCAGCCTCAGTCCACTCCTTGTGAAAGTCCCCAACACTTTTGAATGGCCTTTTCCTGACAATCCTCTCCAGGCTGTGGTCATCCCTGCTGCCTGTGCACCTTTTTCTTCCACACTTTTCCCTTCCACATAACTTTCTATTAATGTGCTTTGATACAGCACTTTGGGAACATCCAACTTCCTTCGCAATTACCTTTTGAAGCTTTCCCTCCTTATGGAGGGTGTCGATGGTTTTCTGCACAACTGTCAGGTCAGCAGTCTTCCCCATGATTGTGATTCCCACTGAACCAGACTGAGAGACCCTTTAAAGGCTCAGAAACCCTTTGCAGGTGTTATGGCTTACTTAGCTGATTAGAGTGGGACACTGTGAGCCTAGAATATTGCACCTTTTCACAATATTCTAATTTACTGAGATTGTGGATTTGGGGTTTTCATGAGCTGTAAGGCATAATCATTGCACTTGTGAGAAATCACGGCTTGAACTATCTTGCTTTGCGTGTAATGCGTCTATCTCATATATTAGTTTCCCCTTTTACATTACTGAAATAAATGAACTTCTGCACGATATTCTAATTTTTCGAGTATCACCTGTATATTTGTTTGCTACAGGTTGTGCCAAATATCTCAGAGAACTAACCACAGCTAAGTGTAAAGTACCAATGTTTAATTGGACCCAAAATTTAGGCTCTAAAAATGAAAGTGAGTTACCTTACAGGGACACTCCACTGCTCAAATTAAAAATATAAATCATTATACAATCAATATATATTATACTGTGAATTTTTTGAGTAGGGGTTTATCTAAAAACATTGTGCAAAAGCTGCAGATCTCTTGTCTGAAGTCTTTATAAGCCCTCCTCTTCTAACCCTGCCCAGGCTTTCTTTGTCTTTCCTATCACAGACTTCTCATTGCAGCCAATGAAAATATGTCCAAGGCAGGTGCTCTGAGCAATTGTTGCCTCTTGAGTTTAGCTCCACTGAGCTAAACAATCATGAATTAACAGGACGGGTTATCTGATTGACAGCTGGGGGGGGGAGGAGGGTGTAACAATGTTATTTTCATAGGCATGCACATTTAACCCCTGAAGGACACAACTTATGAAATAAAATGGTATCATGATGGAATATTTCCATCATGTGTCCTTAAGGGGTTAATTAGGGTGTGCACCTGGGTGGAGGGGCTTTGGGGAGGCCATGTCAGAAATACAGCTTGCATCACTAGTGACGTCACACAGAGAAGAGGCAGGCAGGTCCACAGAAAGGGTGTTTAACTGGTATAAATGCACACCAGGCTGACTTACCGCCTCCTGGCTGGCCCCACATAGAGCACTTCATACAGCGAGTGCTGCTATTGTACCCTCTGCATGTCCCTAGAGCCCTCTGCACAGTCCAAGTGCATCTAATTATGCACACAAAGGCATTGATGGCTGGAGACAGTTCCCTGGTGTCATCAGATGTGGGACATGAGGGAACAAACCTGTGATGATGAGTCAGGACCCCCAAAATAGTAACTGTCCAGCAGAAATTAGGATGGTTGAATTATTTACCGGTTATTTTTTAATTGTATACAAGATGAATGTCTGTAAAAATTCTGTGGGGGTGGGGGTAGGGGGGGGTGGAGGTGCAGGGTTGCTGTAAGTATTGTAGCTTTTTGTGCATGATGTTTGTGGCTGTGAGTGTGTTTTGGCTGTTTGGGTAGCTGTGAGTGTTGTGTGTCTGGGTGAGTATAGGTGAGTACAGCAGTGCAGCAGAGACAAGATCTCTTGATTTAAAAAATGTAAAAAAAAAAAAAAAGGGAAGTAGGTGGAAGTAATATGGAAGGTGAAAGACGTAGGGGCAAGGGAAGATGCAGATGGGAGTGATATGAAGAGAGGAAGGGATATGTGGAAGTGATTGGACAATTTGTAGGGAGGGAGGGATACTGGGTGTGAGAGGTGTAGGTGGGAATTATAGAAGTATGGGGAGAGAGGGAGGAATAGGTCAGAGTGATAGGAGTATGGGGAGCGAGGGAGGAATGGGTCAGAGATGTAGAATTGGGGGGAGAGCAGAAGGAATGGGTCAGAGTGATAGAAGTATGGGGAGCGAGGGAGGGATTGGTCAGACTGATAGAAGTATGGGGAGAGAGGAAGGAATGGGTCAGAGTGATAGGAATAGGAAGAGAGAGGAAGGAATGGGTCAGAGTTATAGGAATATGGGGAGAGAGGAAGGAATGGATCAGAGTTATAGGAATATGGGGAGAGAGGAAGGAATGGGTCAGAGTTATAGGAATATGGGGAGAGAGGAAGGAATGGGTCAGAGTTATAGGAATATGGGGAGAGAGGAAGGAATGGGTTAGAGTTATAGGAATATGGGGAGAGAGGAAGGAATGGGTCAGAGTGATAGGAATATGGGGAGGGCGAGTGGGGACAGAGTGAGGAGAAAGGAAGGAATGGGTCAGAGTGATAAAAGTATGAGGGAGAGAAGGACAGAGTGGGTCAGTGTGGATAGAAGCAGAGTGATAAAAGTATGAGGGAGAGAAGGACAGATGGGTCAGTGTGATAGAAGCATGGGGAGAGAGGGAGTCAGAAAGGAATAGGCAAAAGTGATGGGGGTGGGTGGAAGTGATAAGAGGATGAGGTGAGAATGAGGGATAAGTGGGAGAGTAAGGGAAAATGGGGATTTAGACAGCATGGGTGCAATAAGAGGAGATGAAGACAGAACTAAACATATAAAAACATTTAGAACCGTGGAGCTCTGTGCATTGTTTTAATACATATTACAGAAGGGGATGGACAATAATCAGAACCGGATTAAGATTGCCCAGGGCTCTAGGCAGGGCTTCAGATTTCTGTGACTGAGTGATGTGTGTGGAGGAAGAACTTATGAAGGGCTGAGTGTGTCTAGCATTATGTACCTGTGTATGTACCTGAGGGTGTGTGTGGCATAAATGCCACTGCTATGTGCTCTTGGAGGGGCCTGCTTGCCAGCCTCCTGCCAAAAGACTATGGGCCCTTTAAAAGCTATAGGAATAAAGTTGGTTTGTGGGATTTTATATTTGGTTCGGGAACCGAACAGCCCCATGAACCAGAGACCACCCGGGAGCTTGTTAAGCCCTATTAACACCTTGGAACGATTCTAACTGCAGTGTTCTAATTGTTTGTCTGGGTGGCCGTTGTTCGCATGAACGACCACGAGATGGTGGACATCTTGTTTCTGTGAACGCAGGCAGCGGTGTTTGGTCGTCGAGTTCATGGAACTGTTTTCGGACATTGAAACTCCCGAACACTGCTGGACTTCCAGGATCGCCTGCGTTTGGTTTTACACCACTTAGAAGGGCACTGTTTCTTGGAATCGTTCCCACGAACAAGGTGAACAAGCTCCAGGGTTAGAACATTGACTATGTTTGGTAGTTTGTTCGGTTTTCAAACCGAACTAGATCAACTGCAAGCCCTGATTCTCTGGAACTGTTTTGGGCATGGGACCATGCGTGTGGTCAGTCAAATTATAACTTCCAGGAAATTCCTGAACCAATCTGGGTGCTTTTTGGATATGTTGGTCACGCAGATCAGGGCTATCAGGGGATGTAACATTTGTGGGGGTTTTGTGTGTTTAAATGTATTTTGGGGTTTTATAAAAATTTTCTGTGCCTGGCGATAATGGAGTTTAAACAAAACAAAACTCAAAGAGTTAAATGGTGTTTAGGCGCTTCACAATTATTAGTAGGGTGTGTATGACTATAGGTGTTCCCAATCACCTTAGAAATATATGAAACAGTACCGGTAATATAAATACTACCACACGTCTACATCACCCAATGTGACACTTATAGAGAGTAAAAATACTTCCCAACAATCGTGTCTTGAAGTTAGGAACAGCTTCCTCTCTTAAAATCTATGAGAAATAAATTAAACAATACATAGTGAAGCCTGTACAGTAAGATAAAAACCAAAAAGGTATAGAATGTACACTCACAAGCATAGAGCCGTGTCAGGCTCTATATAATCTGCATTGGGGTGCCAATAACTGGCTACGAAGGAATTCCAAGCTGGATCCACAGCTGGTACAAAATTATTTATTGATATTAATATAATATATAAAAAAGGACATGTATATGTAAGTATTTTTACTCTCTATAAGTTTCGGGTGATGTAGACGTGTGGTAGTATTTATATTACCGGTACTGTTTCAGATAATTGAGTTTAGTACAGTTCCTAAATCAATTATCTCTCATGCACAAAGGAATGATTATATCATTTTGTATGGGAGTGTCCTGGACCTGAGAGACAATGTAATCATATGTATGTCTTTGCTGTAGTCTACTCTCTGGTCCAGGGGGGAGTGACCCCTGCAGGGGGACCTGCATATAAGGCGAGTTGTGGCTGCCACTAAATTAGTTCCAGTTTACCCTCCACACAGCCTCGTCTCGTGCTTGTAGGGGAAAGCTATACGAGCTATAATCCCTGCTCTTGGGATTGTTCTTTGGATTGCTATAATCACTAGCTCTTGTAAGAGCTGCACAGTTATACCTGCTATACTATCTTGGAGGAGAGATCTTCTCACTGGGAGCTGGATCCAGAAGTTTGGTGAGACCCCAGCCAAGCTGCAGCGGCTAAGGGGCTACGGTGCTTATGTTACTCGGGTGTGGTGCTTATGTTACTCGGCGACAGCTAGGAAGCAGCGAATGGCAGGGGCACCCAGTCGGGGTGCCAGGCGGTCCGTCACAGTGTGCATTTCTGTCTGTGTTTCTGGTGTGTACATGTGTATGTGCCAGCGAGACCCCTGGTCTAGAGTCTGACAGTCAGAGAACCTACAAGCTCTGATTTAACTATTATTATTACAGGTTCCTAGAGGCACGCTCTGTCTTCTGAAAGAGCTTGTTACACTTCAAAAATGTCTACATAATATTGGGGGATATTATCAAGTGGACTAAAGTACTAAAAGTGGAGAAATAACCATGAAAACCAGAGGAACCAGCATCATTCCACATTTTTTGCAATACTTTTTAGTACAGAACACTTTGATGACTGCCACCAGAAAGAATGAGTATGGCCACAATCAGTTTAAAGCCCTTCACACCAGTGTCAGCAGTCACAATATAAATTTTATAGCATAGATCTGTTAGGTGATTGTGTGTGGGGGATGGCATGGCCAGGAACAGAGCAAGCCCACAGGCCCACGTGCTACCCCAATGATGTAGAAAATATCTCCCTTTCAACTGCGACTCTGGACAGGATAATTATTTAATGTGATGTATTTGAACTCCTAGTAGGAGAACATCTAAGAAGAAATGTATTTAAATTGGTTTGTCAACAATCACATTACCATTCATAGTCATACATAATATACAACTGAAGTGTATTTGGGTTTTGGTGAATGTGAAACATGCCAGTGTCATTTATAAGAATCAATATTTCACATCCATCCTGTTTCTCAAAGCCCATTACTCTGGTTTTCAGCCCCCTCACCCCAAATACCCTGGGGTTAATATACTTCACAAGCCATTATGTAAAAACAAGATGAAATACTTAGCAACATATGGTTCTATGCTACTGGAACAATTCTCTTATGAGATGAAGCACTAATTGATATGGATGGGAGGAAAAAGTTTCAATCATAATTTACAACTCTTTGTTCCACAGCCAAGATATACATACGTCCACTGTATTCCAACAGATCAAGGGGGTCAGGACAGAGAGATCTATTACACTTGGAGAAACAAATGTTATCCCAAAATAAGAATTATTCCTAATGTTACATCAGAGCTTCCACAGAATGAAGAGGCCATCACGCTAGCATCGTCCAGACACAATAAGATAATCTAGCCATATCAGCCTCAACCAACCACTTCTTGGTCTAAATAAGAACGGTCACCCTGAGCTGAGCTGTGATACAGGAGGTCCTTAGTGGCTAAGATAGGAACAGGTGCTCTATAGATCATGTTCCATTTTTATTCATGTATTTTCAGTGGATTTTGATGCATCTTCTCTGCCAGGGCTGTGGAGAGGTGCACTTTTTATTTATAAATTCCTTGGCACGTTAGCATGGTCTCACATTGTCCTCACCATGACTACTTATTTTTACGCATGGAAAGGGCTTGTCAGTCTTAATTGATCTATAACACAAAAGGTTTGCAGACACTTTCAGAGATACACTGGAGTTTCTCTTGGATTTTGCCTTAGCTACGCAGAACACAGAAGATCTTACCTACGTTAACATTTAAAGCCTGTGTATTGTTCTCATTTTCTGCACTTATGTTTTAAGCTTTTACAATTAAACACAAAAACAATCAACACATGAAATACGGCCCTGCACTCAAACTCCCACTACTCCTGGGCAGCAGCAATGACTAAAGTACAGATCATCCACAATTCACAGAATAAAAACCAAAGAAGAAAAAGTTACTTGCACACTATCCCAAATCCCTGTGCATATTTAGATAACCAGAGGTTAGTATCACTCCAATGGCCATTAAAATGTAAGCCCACCTGCCAATAAAATTACTTTTAAAGATACTCTATAGAGCAATTGGTATATTGTGTTTCATTATCTTGTTTCATGGGCAGGTTTCAAAACGGATAAATCTGGATAACGGTGGCATTCAGTTGCTACAGAATATTACAATGTTTTTCTGTTTTAGTTGCCTTGTCAACCCTGGCAGACAGACAGATAATACCCAAGAGTTGGCATTTTTGCATGCGAACAGTAGAATGATAGAAGAAAAAAAAAAACAGAAAACTAAGAATTGATTGAACCTCAGAATGTATTTCAGAACGAAGGTCAAAGCAGCCAAACTGAGAACAAAATTGACTTGTAGAATTTTTCATCTAATACGCTGTATTGACTTAAATTTGGAAATTCACTTTGAATTCCCAGCTACAGTCACTTTAGAAATAACACTGAAAGAATAGATGGTGCACAGAATAACGGTATCACCAAAGTGGTATTTACTGGTACAGATACGGAATGAAAGAATGGTCGAGAAAGAGCTATCTGAGTTAGAAATAAAATAAAACGCAGAGCTAAACTAAAAAAAAAAAAAAGCAGTAGCCATTTTGTCCAAAATAATTGTTGTTTTCTATCATATATAGTGTGCACAATTCAGCAGCAGCATTGCACTAGTTTCTTAGTGAATGCAACGCTCAAGTTTTAGACTTTAGTCCGTAACTCTTTAAAAGCTTTGACTTTGAACATTCCCACATAAAAAGACGTAGAAATGACTTGGCATGAAACAGATATAGCAGCCCATTTTCTCCTATTAACCCTACAATTTTACTTAACAGAACCATGTTTTCCACACTAGTAGATAGACTGTATATAGTAACATACAGTAGAAGTTAACCTGCATTATTTTCATCTGGTATTTAAAAAAAAATAAAAAAAAAATGTAAAGATGAATTCTTGTAAATTGTTTCATTTCCTTGAAATGTCAATCTTTTAAGAAATACATTTATACGTAAAGTAACAAAATACATTGACAACGATTAATATTTTTTTCAATCAGTGAAGAAATGTTTTAATCATATTTGCAGATCTAAGATTTGATAATAAGGGGTTTAGATATCCACCTGTGTCTTATGCAAAAGGTGTTTGACAGTGAGAGAATGTAATCCTTTTTGTAAATGCTGGGATTAGCCAGAAGTGAACTACTTGTGATTTCCCCTGAATGAGAAAGTAATTAAGAAGAAGCGGGCACGGAACTAGTAACTATATGGATGCAACAGCTGCATAACCCTTTGCGTACCAAATGTTTTTAACCAATTCCAGAAAAAAAAAAAACATGCAATCAATTTGAAGAATATGAGAAAACAGCATTTTTTTCTATCATAATAATAAGAAAATATAAATTATGTCAAAAAAGGAAATAAAGGATGCATATCTATCTATCTATCCATCCATCTATCCATGTATATACAAAAATATAAATGGATAAAATAGATAAATGTGAATAAAAGATTAAGTTAATTTAAAAAATCAAATATAGAATATCATTTTTTTTTTACAAGGAATCACAATAATATAAAATAAACATTTTTGTCTACTGCTAATCTATTTGCCTTTTTTCCCCCCAATTTAATATTAATTTAGCAAATAGTTAATCAGCTTTTTAAAAAGGCCATACATGCAGAAAATGACAACAGGTTGTGGAGTTTAGCAAGGTTACATGATCAATTATACGGCATTGGAGCTGCTACGTACCTTACAGATGTCTGCTTAGCTCCAGAAGACTTCACTGATTAATGTGCACTTGCCCTGGGTTTTTATACCTTCGCTGTGCTCGGTTGAATATAATTTCCCTTTCTCTGGGACTGCCTGCTGCTGACGTCCAGTGCTTGCTCTTTGATTAGTAAGACACATAGGTCTATGTTAACCCCCCTGCCATCAGGTGAGGTTTCGATGAGACAATGTCTATAAGGTGTCTCAGGTGCCCTTATACTCAATAAGCTGACAACATAAATCAAAATATGTTGTAGTTTTGTTTTTTTTTAGTAAAATTTTTTATATATAATTTTTCAATCAGCTTGTAGTATTTGCAGAAATGCCAAGTTTTAGGGATAGTCTAGCAATGAATCTAATGCTATCTAAAATAGATCAGGCATGGAGCTTGGAATTTATACATCATCTAAAATGTACCACTACACAACTATTCAACTGTTAAAACATAAGAACTATTTTACAACACATTATCTGTTTTGTCATTTATGAGTCAAACATAGCACATTGCCCATTGTGTCAAATTATTACACAAGAAACGAAAAAAGCTTGACTGAATATTCATTCAATTTTCAGTTACATTTGAAGAGAACACTAGAAAGTAGGGAGTGTGAGAATGATATCGTGGTTGGGACAACTGATATTTATTCCACCACTTGAGGTCCTTGGTTCTACCAAGTTGGCATATTGCTATTGCTGATTGTACACTTCCACATTCGGAATATGGGTTTTGTACAGATTATTGTTCATTTGCTGTTTGTCTAAGCTGAGAATTCAACCTATAAATGCTGTTCAAATATGGATGGAATTGATATTGCTAATGTGGAAAGTTTAACTCCTGGCTGGAACCTAGAGGCATAGCACAAACCAAAGAAAACTGCCAAAGACCATCATTTATTTTCCAGCAAAACTTTCCAATTAAGAGTCTGCAGTTGGAAAACGCAGAGCCATCTGTCAACACTGTCAGAAAGGGAAGTGGGCTTCAAATGGCATCAAGTTCACATCAACCCAGGTGACACTTGCCATTGTGAGTGGTGGATCTTATTCTTATCTGACGGCTCAACCATAAACATACATTTCTTACTTGAGGGATTTGCCTCATGGTCTCAGAAGTTCCTTAACAAAACATTACTGGTGGCCTACAGGGCTTTGGCCACAGCTTGGCTCAAGGACTCTAACCCTTCTTTGTGAAAAGTAATTGCCACAGTTCATAAGGCCCTCCCTTCCTTTTATAAAACTTGAGGACCTTGGTGAGATTATACTTTATTTTTTATTTCTGATGTTCTATAGGGTGGTTTAGAACCGGGGTCTCGATTTCATATTGTTCGATGAGCTAATCAAATTATTTCACTTTTTTGATAAACTTTTACAATTATTTAATATTGTGAAACATATTAATATTTTGTAATTTTTTTTATAGATCATATATGTATTTTTGATGCTTAAGTGTATTAAGAAAAAAATAATAAAAAATATGAAATAATTTGAAAAGCTTACCCAAAAAAATTAAATTGAGGCCTTAGTAAGGGGAGTTATTACTACAAAAATCATTTTTATGTGCTAGTTACCAGTCCACAAGTTAGCATCCTTTATTTTGAGCTGATCGTGTCCCTTTCTGAGCATTTCTTGCACAGTTAGACATGTTGACGCTAGATACTGCATGGCGGCATCAATTATCAATGCTACTTTTGGCACGTAATTTCACACAAGGTCACATCCTTGTGACATTATTGGCCTAGGCCTTTCTAAGGACTGACGTTGCTTGGGCTCATTGCCAGTTTGAGGTCCTTACTGTGCTGCTTGTTTGGTTCAGAGTTAGGCATGTCCTTTGTTCATAAATTACTGATCTAGACCTGGCTTGTTTTTTACCCTTCCCTGTTAGCTGCCAGCCCTGACGTTGGCTTGTCGGACTACCTGCTTTCCAGAATATTGACTTTGTTTTGTTTGCTGGTTTTGTCTATTTAGGGTATACCATAAAAAAAAAAACAAATGTGAGGAAGGCTGAACTTGATGGACGCAAGTCTCTTTTCAGCTTCGTAACTACGTGACTATGTAATATTGGTCTCTTTCTTCCTATTTAAAACTATGATCTAGTATACTTACTATAATCCTATACTTTCCTAATACCCAAATCCTTGGTCCTGGCACAGTGGAAGCTCTAACATGGGACACAATGGAGCAAATCACCAGTTTGTAGTTCCTTCTTGATCCCAATAGCGCATTTTTTGTGTGTTTGTTAACATTGGTTTTTGAGGTGGTTATTCCTTGATTTTTCTGTTTTCTGGCATCCTTGACCCTGCTCTGCTTATTTGTGCAGTGTGTCCCTCTAGTGCCCTTTTTGACTTTTGTCTTTTTACTGGATATTCTGTTACTATTTACTTTACTCGGATAATGCTTAGGACCGGTAGTAGGTTTCTATCTCTTTCTTATACTAGGACACTGCGTGTTGGGGTGTACATACCGGGACAGTTATATCTAACACATGATCTAATAGAGATTTAATTGAGTCTGAGAATTTTTACTTATTATTATTCTTGGTTTCACTCAACAATATGTCATAAAATATTATGTGATATTGGAATATTTATATGAATGTTCTGCTGTAATGCAGTAAATGTTTTTAATTTCTTCCCTGACACATAGCAATCTTCCTCTAAATGTCCAATTTATAAAGTGATTATACAAAAAAACATAATGATTATTTTTAGCTGCACTGTGTAAATTATAGGATTAGGGCAGTGTTTGGGCTGCCTTGTGTCAGGGACATTAAAAATTTTCACATTCTCCCAAAATATCTAAATAGGCTATTCAGGCTTGAGTCCAGCTAACACCCTGTCCAAAACCTGGAAAAGATTGGCATGCACACAATAGTCATCACTACTGAATCTAAAGCAGAGTGGACTTTCACATTTGAGTTACCATCTGCACCAAAATCACTTCAGCTTGAAGTGGTCATGGTGCAAAGACCCTGACCATTTCTGAAAAAATAAACATTGATTTGGAGCATGTAGCTCCAACCCCATGGTTCTCGATCAGACATTCACTTGATTTGTATTAGTGCTTAGGATTAGCATTTCGACTGGAAGAAAAGAGATTTAGTCTAAGGCAAAGGAAAGGGTTTTGTACATTAAGAACAATAAGGATGTGGAATTCTCTGTTTGTAGAGGTGGTTTTATCATAGTCTATACCGATGTTTAAACAGAAGTTGGATAAATACTTGCAAAAACACAATATACAGATATATACATTTTAATTAGTATAGTAATAGCTGTTTGACCGATGGAGATATCTGACTGACATTCTGGGGTCAAGAAGTAATTCTTTCCTAGTTTGTTGTACAATTCTAAAGTGATTCAGACTGGGTTGTTTGCCTTCTTTTGGATCAACAGCAAAAATCAAATGTGAGGAAGGCTGAACTTAATGGATGCACGTCTCTATTCAGCTATGTAACAATGTAGTGACAAACTATGTAGGAAGATTGGTTTTATCCAAGTTGTACATGTGGACACCATGAGCACACACTGTTTAGTGATATTGTCAGAGAGATAGATTTACAAAACAGTGAACCTGGCTGTTGGCAAACAATCTATTTGATGAGTGGAAATGCTCTTGGGGTAAACTACTTCTACCGTAAAGTCCGTCTAGATAGATGCTTATGGGATAAGAGCTGATTGGAGCATTGTAGGGAGCTATGATAGTGATATTTTCTAATTTTTATACTGGGGAGGATTTAAAAAAAAAAAAAAAGATTATTTATATAATGCATGAAAATATGGGGCTATATAGACCACATTGCTCCCCTTTATTTGCCTGTCCTATTTTGTAGTTGCATTGCTTGTTCATATCTTTGCACCACGGAAGACTCTGGTGTTAAGCTTTGATGGTTCATGGCAGCAGTTAAACAGTAGTAAAAGGTCGGCAGCCAGACATCAGTCACTAAGTAGTGGTTTTCGGAGAATAATAGGAGAAGTTAGAGGCGACTTAATGACTGACCTTAATTTCTAAATTACATTTTAATTGCATAAGAGAAACATAGAAACATAGAATGTGACGGCAGATAAGAACCATTCGGCCCATCTAGTCTGCCCAATTTTCTAAAAACTTTCATTAGTCCCTAGCCTTATCTTATAGTTAGGATAGCCTTATGCCTATCCATGCATGCTTAAACTCCTTTACTGTGTTAACCTCTACCACTTCAGCTGGAAGGCTATTCCATGCATCCACTACCCTCTCAGTAAAGTAATACTTCCTGATATTATTTTTAAACCTTTGTCCCTCTAATTTAATGTCCTCTTGTTGTGGTAGTTTTTCTTCTTTTAAATATAGTCTCCTCCTTTACCGTGAGACCTAATTTTTTTCTGAATAGCCCTACCCCTGGCAACATTCCCACTCACCGCCTTAAAATGAAGGTGTCTGTCTCTATCCATTTGAAATGTTGGGAGGTGATTCATTAGTAATGTCTATTGATCTTGTTATGTTTTTTTTTTTCTGACGCTATTCTCCCCTGAGTGTCTGTCTGTGAAAATAAAAGTACTGCAAATATCTCTCAAACTGTGTGGAAAATGTAGAAACATGTGATATGGAATGAGGGTGTGTTTGTTCCATCAAAAGAGTATGTGATCCTGATGAGGTGAACGTGACTGCTGCAGAAAGGGAAGGGAGGATATTTTTTTTTTTTTTAAGTATTGATATAATTTATATTTATGATGTGTTTTGCTACTTTAATATGTTGAAAATATAATAATTTTTAAAGTTTATCCAAAAATATAAAATTATTTGAACAATGTATCCATCACTATTAAATCGAAGCCAAAGTTCATACCCTCTTCACTCCATGCCTACGGTGAATGTTTTGGAGGAGTAAGGAAATGTGAGGAGAGTTCTGACATAAGATGAGGGTTTTGTGACAATGATGTCTCAGATGTTCCTGGTGTGGACTTTGGTGGTTGTTCAGCTGCGTGCTCATCCAAACTGTCCCAAGATACATGGTGTGGAGTTTCATCCTT